CAGGCGATCCTCTCACCTCCGCCTCCCAAAGTGCTGGGATTACAGGTGTGAGGTACTGCACCTGGCCTGAAAACAATTATTTTAGTGGTTATAAATATTTTTTTTTTGAGTTGGAGTCTCACTCTGTCACCCAGACTGGAGTGCAGTGGCCGCTCCCGGCCACCGCAGCCTCGACCAGCTGGGCTCCGGCGATCCTTCCGCCTCAGCCATCCAAGTAGCTGGAACTACAGGTGTGCGCTACCACACCCGGCTGATTTTTTGATTTATTGTAGAGATGAGGTCTCATCAAATTGCCCAGGCGAGTCTCGAACCCGCAGGCTCAGGCAATCCACTCACCTCGGCCTCCCAAAGTGCTGGGATTACAGGCTGAGCCACCGAGCCTGGCCCTTCGACTGTTTTCTACTGGGATATTAGTATTTCTTATCAGTTTGCAAGGATTCATTTTAAAGTAGTAATAATAATTTCTTGCCAGTTGTTGAAACAGTTTTTCCTTGTTTCACTCTTTGTAATAATTTTTCTCCCTAACCTTTGGATGAGAGGAGGAGAAGAAAAAAAATATCCTGGTTGCAGCTCAAGACACAAGAACAGAAAGTGAGTCAAGAATTTTGCCTCTCTTAAAATTATCATGTGTCTGTAAGAAGTGATTACATAACATTCTTCCTAAAAGGTTATCACAGTTAAAAATAAAGAACATACTTTACATAAGAGTTTCCTCTGTGGCTAGTTTGCATAAGCACTCAATAAGCTAAGCACATCTTGCTAATTATAAAAGTAAATAACACTATTAAATATGACATATTCTAGTAACATGATACTCTCTACAGGAAAATAAATGCTTTTTTTTTTTTTTTTTTTTTTCCTGAGTCATAGTCTCACTCTGTCACCCAGGCTGGGGTGGCACGATCACCGCTCCCCTCAGCATTGACCTCCTGGGCTCAGGCATTCCTTCTGCCTCAGCCTCTCAGAGTGCTGGATTATAGGCATGAGCCACTGAGCCTAGCCTGAGAAAAGAAATGTTTTCTAATGGACTTTAATCTTTTGGCTGCAAAACAATGTTAGCATGGAGCAAAGCAATGAGGTGAATTCATCCAAAATATATTCACAAACCTTTCTGAGTCGAGAAAAAAAAAACCAAAAAACAAAACAGCTGTCCAGTACTTTGGCCACCAGGAAGGAAAGCTGAGAGGATGACAGCTTAGAGTTTGCTCCAGGCAAAATTCTTTCATGGGGTAGAGATAGGGGTGGTGAGTAAAGTTATTTTAATGTGTCCAGGGCAGAAATGAGTAGAGGGACAGTAAGCCCACCTTGGCCCAGCTTCAGAAGAAAAATCTATCATTCATCTGGAGAAAGGGGAACCCTCATACACTGTTGGTGGGAATGCAAATTAGTTCAGTCACTATGGAGAACAGTATGGAAGTTCCTCAAAAAAATAAAAATAGAATTACTATATGATCCAGAAATCCCACTGTGGGGTATATATCCAAAGGAAAGGAGATTAATACATCAAACAGACAACTGCTCCTCCGTATTTATTGCAGCGTTATTCACAATAGCCAGGATATGAAATCAACCTAGGTGTCTATCAATGGATGAATGAATAAAGAAAATATGGTGTATACCACAGTGGAAAAGTATTCAGCCATTAAAAAAGAATGAAATGTTTTCATTTGCAACAACATGGATGGAACTACAGGCCATTAAGTTAGTTGAAATAAGCTAAGCACAGAAAGACAAGTATCACATATTCTCACTTATATACAGGAGCTTAAAAAGTGAGTCTCATGAAAATAGAGAGGAGGTGTGTGGTTATCAGAGGCCAGGAAGGGGACGGGGGAAGGGAGAGATGAAGGGGGAAAAATAATATACATCTATCTATTACCACTGAACTATACACTTAAAAATGATAAAGATGGTTAGTTATATATATTTTACCTCAATGAAAAATAAAACAGCTGGGCATGGTGTTTCACGCCTATAATTCCAGCACTTTGGGAGGCTGAGGTGAGAGGATTGCCTGAGCCCACGGGTTCGAGACCAGCCTGGGCAACATGGCGAGACCTCATTTCTACAATAAATCAAAAAATTAGCCAGGCGTAGTGGCATGTGCCTGTGGCTCCAGCTGCTAGGAAGGCCAAGGCAGAAGGATTGCCTGAGCTCAGCAGGTTGAGGCTGCGGTGGCCGGGAGTGGCCACTGCACTCCAGTCTGGATGACAGAGTGAGACTCCAACTCAAATAAAAAAGAAAAGAAAGCTCTATCATTCCAATGTTTTCCATTTTAAATATAAAACTAGAAAAAAGATTTCATTTATTCAAATAGTTCAGCATAAATCAGTTCAACATAAATAGAAAGCTACAAAGGTAGGTTTAAAGTACAGCAAAATATTTAAACACATTTTAAGACTGTCTTCATATATAGTGAAGTTCCTTGGGTTTGAAAAAGAAAATGAACATAAGCACATAATGTTTTACAAGCAAATCAACTTACCATCATACTGCAAAAATCCATTTTTATCTGTCTCTATCTCAGACTCTGGCTGGAAAAATAATAAAGTATCCATCAAAACAGTGTAAGGGTAGAAATAATTACACTTAATAGAAGTGGTGAGAAGAATAAAAAGGCAAAAAGAATACCACTATAGAAAGGAGATGAGCCTTTAATAAATGCTCTAGATGGTATTAATAAATGAAATCAAAGATCAGTACTGATAGATGGTGCCATCTAGTGGATAAGTAACACTATTACATGGAGCCTACCTTCAGTACAAAAGCATATCGCCAAATGCTTTTGGGACGTAGATCAATGAACTTTCTCACTAGACATTTTTGTGTTAAATAAATTGTCTAAGTTTTGTAGATACCTTAAAAAAATCATCCTGAGATATGACATCGCAATTTGGGAGGCATTTCTGCAAGTTCGTAGCTAGTGTTGTCTTCCCACCATTTGTCACACTGGACCAAAGGGGAAAAAAAAACCAGAAATTACCAAGAAGGAAAATGCATTAAAAGCATAGTTATATACAGTAATAACTAGCAAGTAATCGAGATGGGTTACAAAGTCTATTCCAACATGGATTTTTCTTTTTTTGCCAAGGTCTTTATTCTGCCACCTAGGCTGGAGTGCAGTGGCACAATCACGGATCACCACAGCCTTGACCTCCTAAGCTCAGGAGATCCTTCTGCCTCAGCCTCCCGAGTAGTTGTGACTACAGGCATGTGTCACCATGCTGGGCTAATTTTTTGATTTTTTTTGTAGAGGCAAGGTCTCACTATGTTACTTAGGCTGGTCTCAAACTCCTGGGCTCAAGCAATCCTCCTGCCTCAGCTTCCCAAAAGTGTCCGCATGAATTTTAAACTTTTTAACACAGTCAAACTTTTTGATGAATATGATAAACTCTGTCCCCAGAAAACTGGACCTTCCATAAGCATGAGGGTTTCAGGAGGTACATGGATGCCCCTAAATTCCGTCAGAACCCCTACTGTTCCCTGAAGTCCCTGCAAAATAATTACTTCATAAGGCAGCAGGTGGTTAAGTCCATGAGAAAGAAGTAACACAGTGGGTCTGAAGGAAGCTGCAAGGCAGAAACAGCAGTCACCCTAGCTGTCTGGCATGGGCTTCACAGAAGCAGCAGCACCAAAATGACATCATGACACTTGATGTCATGAAGGGACAATGGAAAGGAAGCTTTCTTGGGAGGTGTGGATAGTCCCTCGTGCCTATCCTATGGCAAGAAAGCATGAGGAAGGTTTATGGGTAGAGGGGTCCATACTGGAACACCGAGCAGAGGAAGATCTTATTTACACACATGCAGAATCACAGTTGGACTGGGTTCTGTCCTGGGCTCTGGGGTTGCCTCCCCAGGTTCTACGCCTCTTACTGAGGTCTGGTGGGGACTGACCCACTCTCAGCTGCAGAACAGGACCCACTGGCCTAAATCAATTCATGTCCTCCCATCTCTTTTGCCAGAGTGTCTGGGTGTATGCAAACCAAGCTGGCACCGTTCAAGGGACACCCATGGCTTAGGGGAAGGAAAGCACTCCCCCTCCAACCGAGTGACAGGCCACGAGGAAGCATGGAGTTACAGGGGGATGCTTGTAGCCCCTTGTGACTGAAAAGATGAGCTTAATTTTAGGAATCCAAACAAAGGAAGGACACAGAGAAGAAACTGTCTTTGACAATACTGTGGAGCTCCTGTATTGCACTGTTCCTGTAGCCTTCCTGCTTTGAAGCTAGTGCATTTCTTTATTATTTACGTGACATTCCTATTTCATTCTAGATAACTGGGAACCACTGAATATTAGCTGGGGATTAAGCTGGTTGAGGCGTGTGGGAAAGATCAGGAGTGGGAGTCCGGGTTAAGGGAATGTCAGTGAATCGGGATGGTGGCTGTGAGTGTGGAAAGGAGGAGAAAGGGTAAGAGAAGAACTGCAGAGAAACACTGGACTCTGGCTCTAATGAGCAGGAAGGCAAGATATTGAGTTCTGATATTTAGTTCACTCAATTTAACTTTTTTTTTTTGAGTCGGGGTCTCACTCTGTTACCCAGGCTGGAGTGCAGTGGCATGATCATGGCTCACTGTAGTCTCAAACTCCTAGGCTCAGGTGATTCTCCTGCCTCCCGAGTAGCTGGGACTACAGGTGCACACCACAATGCCAGCTAATTTTTAAATTTTTTTGTAGAGATGAAAACTTTGCCTAGGCTGGTCTGGAACTCCTGGGCTCAAGCAATCCTCCTAAAGTGCTGGGATTACAGGTGTAAGCCACCATGTCTGGTCTCAATTTTACTTTTTTCTTTTTTTGAGTTGGAGCCTCATTCTGTCGCCCATGCTGGAGTGCAGTGGCGCGTTTATGGCCACCACAGCCTCGACCTGCTGGGCTCAGGCAATCCTTCCACCTCAGTCTTCCAAGTTGCTAGAACTACAGGCACGTACTAGGACGCCCAACTTATTTTTTGATTTATTGTAGAGATGAGGTCTCACCAAGTTGCCCAGGCTGATCTCAAACCCCTGAACTCAGGCAATCCTCTCACCATGGCCCCCAAAGTGCTGGGATTGCAGGCTTGAGTCACTGTGACTGGCCTCAATTTTACTTCTAACTGATGACTTACTATATTGATGTCATAACGCAAAGATCTCTCCTCAAGTATAAACTTTATAATGTAATAGCCTCAGATATTTTATTAACTGGGCCACACATAATGTGAATGTACTTGGAAGAAAGATGAATAGACTATAATAGCAAAACAATGTCCCTTTCAATTGTTGAGGTTTGACTTGTACGGCTGTCCCTGTCCTCAGCTAGGTGACTGCTGTTCTTGCGTGCAGCTTCCTTCAAACCCACTGAGTTGTATCTTTCTCGCTTACTTAACTGCCTGCTGCTCTATTTAGGACCCTTCTGAGAGGGAGTAAACATATGATTGATGTGATTAACAATTATGCCAGGCTGATTGTGGTAGCTCATGTCTGTAATCCCAGTGCTTTGGGTGGCCAAGGCAGGAGGACTGCTTGTGGTCAGAAGTTTAAGACCAGCCTGGGCAACACGGGCAGGCCCTGTCTCTACAAAAAAATTTAAAAATTAGTTGGGCATAGTGGTGTGTACCTTTAGCCCCAGTTACTTGAGATCACTTGAGCCCAAGAGTCTGAGGTTACAGTGAGCTACGATCGAACCACTGCACACCAGACTAGGTGACAGAGTAAGACCCGGGGGAGAAAAAAAAGGGGGGGAAATTATGCCAGGGCCACGAGGACTAGCTCGGGCAAGCCAGGACATAAGGCCACCCTAAGCATGGGGGAAAAGGAACAGAGGTGAGGTTGTTCTGCCTTCCTTGTGTCTGAAGCTGGGCCTGGCAGGAAAGAAAGACATTTCTACTGCAACAAACGGCGAACGCTCTTGACTGAGGTTTCCGTTTCTCTGTTTGTAGGAGACTGTCCATCTCTTGCTGGCATTGATTGGTGCTCCGCAGAGGCGGCTCTTCCTCAGGACTCCAGGTTCTCCACCGCCTCTCCTTCCCTACCACCTCCACACGAGGACACGCTTTGGACACCCTGAGTATCTTGCTTGCAGCAAAATTACTTACCCGCTGATTCCAATGATAAATGTTTTCATAATTAGCTTTCGAAATCACACCTTAATATTTCCTAAAATGAAAAAGAAACACACCAAATGAGTATCATTTAGATGTCTAGAGATGTAAGTCCTAAGTTAGAAGAACCAGCTGAGAGGGGACAATGACAGCGATCTCTTGGATATCCCAGTCCTGCTGCACAGCTGGTGTGTGTTAAGGCCTGTCAACGGATGGGCCAGGCACACACTGGGTATACACCCTGCAGGGTTCTGTTTCCCGAGGTGTGGAAGAGCTGCCAGGTCACTGTGTGGTCTACAGAGTTTTATCCTCCCCTCAGCCAGGTCGCCTTCCACCCACGATTCCATTGCCGGGGTATGAACCATGACCCCCGCCTCCACACCCACATCCCACCCACCCCCAGCAGGGACTCCTCTGGGCTGGCTTCTTTGTCTCCCTGTGAAGGAGGAAGAAAGTCACTGCTGAAGCAAAAAAGAAGCTAATGCCCTTTAAGGAACTATTTCCTCACCCCAAAGCCTAGGTCGATAGCCTGGCTAGTCAAAGTTTTGGAAATGGGCCAGACTGTAAATATTTGAGGCTGTATAGGGCAAGAGGCAAAATCTGGGTTATGATGTAGGGACTTACATAATAGAAATAAAATCAAACAAAAAAATACTTTCACACATTTTTGAATAGAACTCAAAGTTCAATCATAATTAAGTACATTTTTTTTACAGGTCCACTAATGACAAGAATGGAATTCCCTTAACCAGATTTTGGGTTAATTATTTATTTATTTTTTAGTTTTTGTAAAGATAGGGTCTTGCTATGTTGCCCAGGGTGGTCTCGGAACTCCTAGCCTCAAGCAATCCTCCCACCTCAGCCTCCCACAGTGATGGGATTACAGGCGTGAGTCACGGGGCCTGGCCCATTAACTGGATTTTACAGTTAGTGTTCTCCATCATGAAAATGACTGCGAATGTTTGTTCAGAAAGCGGACCAGGTTTAAGCCACAAGCTGTTGTTTTGTTGACCCCCGGTCTAGGGGACAGAGAGCAGTTTCACATGTGGCCTCCTAAGGTCACCAAAGCAGTCACTGGATATCACAAGGGACTATTTTTACCTCAAAGTGGAAAGGTGAAGCGTGGCTGGAGGAACTTTCCTGAAAGTGGTCCCTGACTGACGCTGTTCTTCATTCCTATCTGTTCAGTGGGTGGTCAGGGATCTATGCTGTGCGTGGGGGGGGGAGGCTTGTGGCAACTGAGCAGGAGGCTCTGACCTGTGTCCACGCTACCCCTGGGGAGCAGGTGTGAAGAGCCCGGTGCTCTTGTTTCCTGACTTCTCAGCTCATCCAGAATATTCGACATCGAGTATCACTGCTTTAGGTGAAGTCCCACTTTCATTAACAAGCCTGTGTGAGACGAGAATTCAACAAAGACTGTGATAAAAAAAAAAAAAAAAACACCAGCAGAATCAGTTGGACATTTGAGCTTCACCCAGGGTTATGCTGCTGAATATATATCTCAATGAAAACTACCACGAGGTATCCAGGGAACAACTGCATACAACTAATACTGTAAAATAAATTTTTATGTTGTAGTTTGTATGCTTCTGAATTTTATTCTACCCTCTTCTTATTTTTTATATGTCAGGGCAAGACTGCCAATTATCTTTCTTTGGGGAGAGGTTGTCTTTTATCTTACTTTTTTGGTGATAAATATCCTTTCTCTTATGAAATTATGTTGTCAGTAGATGGTAATAGATGAATATCTTCAAGTGACCAAATAAAATAAAAACTCAAAAAACTCTGTCATTCCTTACCCACACCTTGACTGGTTTTGGACAGCTTGTTGAAGCATAAGTTTTCAAACTTGGAGGATCACAGCTTTACAGATTACTTAGTCTATCCCTTCATTCTGCAGAAGTAGAAGCTGGCCTACACAATGCAGTGATTTGCCCAAGGTCACACAGCTAGTAAGTGGGAAAGCTAGAATGAAACTAAACCAATTCTTTCCATCACTTTTAAGCTGTTAACAAGCACTTTATTACTGAGAACAAAGAAAGAAAGTTGCACATGTACTAGCTTAATTGTCAGGCTCTGATGTATAATTGATGTCATTCTTTTGATGTATTTGATCAATTACACAGCATGTAAACAAGTGAGCTTGGCAGTGGCACCAGAAACAGGCTTCAGGGGGTTATTTGCTGGAAACTAGCAATTGAGAAACCAGAAATGAGATGGAGTAAAAAACCTACTTATAAAATCCCTTGGGTATGAGAGGGAACTCCCACTGTCAGATGGAAGTCTTTTGTTTGTTTGTTTGTCTGTTTAAGCAAAACAGGAACCCTCAGCTCTACCTTAGTTAGCAGTCTGGATAAATGCTAGGCAGGCCCCATTAGCAAGGAGCAGATGACAATGTGATGGGAGAGGTCAGAAATTGGGACATAGAGGAGCAAGACAGGTGGCTTGGCTGAGTGACTAGGGTGGGATGGGGGGGGTGCTGGGTCTAACAGTACTCAAAGCCATTTATTTCAAAAACTACACAGGGCAGTTTCAGGTGAACTCCAGATACAGGGCCCTCTTTGTCAATCTCCACATCATGCTCTGCTATTTAATTGCCTGCTGCCCTCTATAAAAACTATTAAAAATCAAATTTAAAGCGTTTGTAATCAAAAATTGCCAGGCTCCAAATATATGCAGTGTAGACTTCATGAAGAAAACATAAGGTTTGTCAATTACAAAGTGCAAACCATTTGATGTGTCCAGAGAGACAAGTCTTTGAACTCTCCAGCTTCCTCATTTCAGGGAACCCTCTCACTAGGAAGAGTATCACCTTGACTCACATGGAATATGAATGCAGTTTACTCTCCCTACGAGTGCAGAGCTTTCCTCAACTGCAGAGAGCATTTGCACAGAGCCGGGGGGAACAGACTAGATTGGCCAAGAGCAAACCCCAAATAGCTAATTCTTATTTTTTATTTTTTTGAGTCAGAGTCTCACTTTGATGGCCAGGCTGGAATCCAGTGGCATGCTCACGGCCACCGCAGCCTCGACCCTCTGGGCTCAGGTGACCCTTTTGTTTAAACTTTTGCTCAGGTGATCCTATTGTTTAAACTTTGCTCCCTTTTGGTAAACATAGAAATCTCCCAAGCCTGCAGTTTCTGAAAAGGCACCTCACGTTCCTCCCCTTTGGAATCACTTCTTTTTACCAACACCTACTAGAAACTTTGAAGTTTCATTTTAGGTATGTTCTTTTTTTTTTTTTTTTTTTTGAGTTGGAGTCTCACTCTGTCGCCCAGACTGGAGTGCAGTGGCACGCTCACGGCCACCGCAGCCTCGACCTGCTGGGCTCCGGCCATCCTTCTGCCTCAGCCTTCCAAGTAGCTGGAACTACAGGTGTGCGCCACCACACCCGGCTAATTTTTGGCCTTCCTGTAGAGACGAGGTCTTGCCATGTTGCCCAGGCTGGTCTCGAACCCCTGAGCTCAAGTAATCCTCTCGCCTCCACCTCCCAAAGTGCTGGGATTACAGGCGTGAGCTACGGCGCCCTGCTTGCACTTCCATTCTAAGGATAACTTTTGCTATTATTTTTATTCTTATTTTAATTTTTTTAAGGCGCGGGGTCTCGCTCTGTCGCCCAGGCTGAAGTGCAGTGGCGGGGTCACAGCTCGCTGCAGCCTCGAGCTCCTGGGCTCCACCGATCCTCCCGCCTCGGCCTCCCGGAGTGCTGCGATTACAGGCGTGAGCCACCGCGCCCGGGCCCACTTTAAAGACCCTCACCGGGCCATAAAGCACTCATCCTCCTTGGCATACACTGCATCCGCTACGTTAGGGGTACAAAAGGCCCAAAAGGGCTTTCGAGACGCATCCA